AATTCACCTTCCCCTCAAATCATGCTTTGATACTCCAGATCAAAACTTAATCCTTTGTTGTTAGTTGCCATTGCGTCAGCTCCAACTCCATAGGGTTTTCAAGGTGGTTACCTTTCAGTGAGAAGCCCTGACACTGCAGTGGTTGAAGTGCTCAACTGCTAACCAAAAGGTCAGCAATTTGAACTCATCAGCTGCTCCACAGGAGAAAGATGTGGCAGTCTGCTTCCATAAAGATTTACAGCCTTGGAAATCCTATGGAGTAGTTCTACTCTCCTACATGGTTGCTGTGAGTTGGAATGGCCTCGAGGGCAGTGAGTTTGTTTACTGGACCTGTCAGAGGAAGATTGCCAGGCCTTCTTCTGAGACCCCTCTTGGTAGGGTCCAATTACCAAACTTTCAGCTAGTAGTAGACCATGTAACCATTTGTGCCACCCAGGGACTCATCTTTCCTTAGCCATGTCCATCTCTGACTCACAGGAAGAAAGACTACTTACGTTAATTGAGAAGTGGGGGTCCCATTAGGCTTTGTGAGTCCATTTTTAAGTTCTACCAATGTTCACAGAAATAACTAACTAGAGGGAGGGTGGAGGTGACATAGGAGTAATGCAGACCTTTTTCCAGATTCAATACAACCTAAGACGGGCTATAGCAGGGTCAAAGAGGCATATAGCAAGAGATGTTGAGTCTGTTGAGTCTGGCAGGGAGGGAAGTGGGGAAACTTTTTAGCAATAGTACCTGGCCCAAAGTCGGTGCTCACTCAGTAAATGGTGAATGAAAGGGTGCAATGTCCTTGGGGATTGTGATAGTTGGAGCTGTGTGTCAACTTGGCTGGACCCCAGTTCTGTGTGGTTGTTCCCATGATGGGATCAGATGACTGAGTTCTGAGTGGCCAGTCTGCCCAAGGGGAGTTTCCCTAGGGGTGTGGCCTGCTTGCAATGATATCCAAGGCAATCTGGAAGAACAGCATTCCTTAAGTAATTGGAACCCTGGTGTGCTAACGACAGACTTCCTTGAGTGAGCGGCCTACCGTTCGGCCCGGAGATCTCGTATTCATCTTTTGTTGGAATCAACAACCATTATACTCCATGCCAGCTTGAATCTCTCGGCTCCCCAAGGCGGCCGCAAGCCCCATCTCCTCCAGAGACGGACTTTTTGGCTTGGACTTGTCGGCTTCTATACGCTTGTGAGCCATTTACCTAAGATAAATCTCTCTCTCTCTCTCTCTAAA